TTTTTTGGTTTTTCTCCGGTACCAGGAACCAAACTCATGACCTTGCGCTTGCCAGGCAGGCGCTTTTGCCGCTGAGCTAAATCCCCAGCCCCCTATCTTGATACTCTTGTAAACATGGAAAGAGCCAATGTAATAAGGAAAGACAAAAATAAACCACACAATTCCCTCATGTCTGCCGTATCTTTAACAGCTTTAAAAAGATGTAATCATAGATTACTCACTGGATTTGAACTCTGAAAACCTACAATATGGAGATGAATATGATCTCATTTACTATCCCTCTAATAGGTTAAATTAGCAAGATCCAAAGGTAGAGAATGGGTGTATAGGCACCCAAAAGAAATGCTGTTTTGAAGAGTGGGAATGCAAGATATTCTGTAAGGGTCATAAACCATTCCTTTCAATTATTTGGACATAAGTTTCTTAAAAATTGTATTCTTTGTACTATAAAAGTAAAGGGCGCACTGGGGATATAGCTCATTGGCACAGCACCTGCTTGGCAAGCCTGAGGTAGTGAGTTCGATTCCGGGTACCAAAAAAAAGCAGGGGGAGCTGGGGATTTAGCTCAGCGGCACAGTGCCTGCTGGCAAGAACGAGGTCATGAGTTTGATTCCTGGTACCCGGAAAAAAAAAAAAAAAAGTAAAGGGGCTATTCTAAAAATTGGAAAATGTTGAAAAAATAATGGATATAAAAATTACTTCAAATCCTGCCATCCAGAGGCAGCCATTGTTAACATTTTATTCTTTACACATTCACATTATTGAAGTTTTAAACAAATTTTGTGTTAATTGAATAGAGTATTACGTAGTTTTTAATCTTTATGTTTTCACTGAGAAAATCAAGAATATTTTCTAAACATGAATATATAAATCTATTCCCCTCATTTCTTTTTTTATATTAAAGGAGAAAAACAATAAAAATAATGATACAGAATTTTTTTTTCTTTTTTTTTTTTCTTTTTTTTCCCCTGGTACCAGGAATCGAACTTACGACCTTGAGCTTGCCAGGCAGGCACTGTGCCACTGAGCTAAATCCCCAGCCCCTCTTTTTTTCTTTCTTTCTTTTTTTTTTCGGTGCTGGGGATTGAACTCACAACCTTACGCTTGCCAGGCAGGTGCTTATGCCAAGGAGCTATATCCCCAGCCCCATGATACAGAATTTCAAAACAAGATAATAGGAAATTAGCAATGGTTAATATACTGCATATTGTTATCTTCAATCAGTTTTGCATGCCTATATCTTGTAATCTGAGCAACTACCCTCATTTATTATTTTTAAGAAATAAGGCATTGGGGTGGAAGATGTTATCTTTAGTAATTTAGCCGTAGTGTGTGGAATCTGTGGAATCATCTATTTTGTCCATTCATCCTGTGAGACAGTGCATTTGAAAATGGGTTCAGTTGGTAGGAGAAAGAGAAAGAAAAAGCAAGCACTGATCTATTATTGACAGCTATGGATGAGAAATTTGAGGCTTGTAAACCATGGATGACAAAATATTCTTACCTTGCTCATGTTTATGAAACTCTGACTACTACCACAATTACATGAACAATACTGCTAATAAGCAATGTCTTAAAACATTTTAAGAACAGGCTTTATGTTATTAGAATGAAAAATCATGCACTTATGTTATATTCATAAAATTGCACATGAAACATAAAGACCTAGACAAGGGAAAATTAACTTTGAGGGGTGGTTTCTGACATCACTGTTATTTTAAGTGCTGTGGACATAAATAGAAAACTTTTGGATGTAGTTGAGAATTTCTTTTCCTTGGATTTGGATTACACAGGAAGTCAGTCTCTGTAAAGGGACCAGCCCTGTATAAGCAATGCTCAGCGGCTCTTGGCTCACCATACAACAGAACTACTAGCACAGCACAGGACAGCAGCAGCAGCCGGACACCTGAGAAATCCAACGCCCAAACATCCACTTTGCCAAATAGTAAGTACAGAATTCTTGACCAGGGCAGCCATGCTATGAAACATATTTATCACCATGACGGATATGCAAAAAGCCTTCTGATGCATGTGCAAACTTTTATTGTATTAGAGTTAAAATCAGTCTTTTCTGTTTGACCTAGATGATGAAAATGCTCAATGTTTTATTCATTCTTGTGAAAGTCTTTGAAATACAGATTGTCCCACTGGAATCCTTGTGCTCAAATCTTATGATGCTGGGTCAAAATCACAGTAGAATGATGTGAGTAACAAGCTACCTGGCATTTCTTTCTATAATTAGTTTTATACCTTCTCTTTCCAGAAAATATTTCAGGTCTAATTCTTCAGTGCAAAGAATTCTTGAAGTTATGAGTGCTCCACGGTTTCTCTCCACTCTCATGTTTGGTAAGTCATTGTTACTAGACAGAGCAGTCTTCCTCATTTTTACGCTATGGCCGCTGAGGACCAGAATGTTCTTCCATGTGTGAGGATGTCCCATGCATTGCAGGGTGGTTAGCAGCATCCCTGATATCCCAGGGTAATATGTTCTTTGCCTCTTAGTGTCATAGTTTACTCATGTATAAAGTATTGATCCTAAGTGATCTATTTAGATATTGTGAGAATTCAGTATCATGGTCCATGTAAAGTACACCAAGTACACAGTACTTGGTGGCACATACTAAACCAAGCTCCATTAAGCTAATTATCTCATTATTCTTCTTCTGTAAAGTGGCTATACAGTTAGGCTTCGATGAGTGAGTGTGATAAAGCACCTAGTGGATGGCCATTCACAAAAGTAGCACACAATAAATGGTAGTATTTCTTATATATTCCTCTGATTGCTTTTGAAAAGGTGAAAACATTTGGGTCATTCCAAAGGCCACAAATGGCAAAACTAAGACAACTCTAAACACAGTTAATAGAGTTAAATTATAACGGGATAAACTCTACCATTCCTTCCCTGTCCCTCCAGTGCTTCTCATTAGAGACAGCAGAGGCTGGTCTTACAACGCGTCTACAGAAACCATGACTTACGAGGAGGCCAGGTTGTACTGTCAGCAGAAGTACACCCACCTGGTGGCAATTCAGAACAAAGAAGAGATCGAGTACCTCAACTCCATCCTGAGCTACTCAAAAAGCTATTATTGGATCGGAATCAGAAAAATCAATAATGTATGGGTCTGGGAAGGGACGCAGAAGCCTCTGACTGATGAAGCTAAGAACTGGGCTCCCGGGGAACCAAACAATAAGCAAAATGATGAGGACTGTGTGGAGATCTACATCAAGAGAGACAAGGACACGGGCATGTGGAATGATGAGCCCTGTAGCAAGAAGAAGCTTGCTTTGTGCTACACAGGTAGGGGCTTTGCGGTGCCACTGGGAGGTAGTTTTGGTGTGTGATCATCTTGACAAATTTACAGCATGCAAAAGTTGGTCCCTGTTGTGGTGATTTTATATTCCAAAGATATGATTGTAAGATATTCTGTTTAACTGCTAAAGTATCTCTTTACATCTTTGAGTGTAGACAAGAATGTATGTACATATGCATATATACAGTTCTATACATCTGTAGAATGCATAGACATACATACAGTACATATTTTGTTTATTTTTGATAGAGAAACAGTTTTCAGGGTTAATGATAAAGTGAATTTTCTATCTTAGTGCCAGCTATACTCTTAATTTCCATACATTATATCCAGGTATAAATTAGATGAACCTGAAACTCTTCAGTAAGATCTGTGTATTTGATGACGTCTCTGTACACTACTGCTCTTAAATTCAAAAGAACATGCGAAAAACACAGTAACAATGATGCTCATTAGGGAATGTGATCTCTGCAGCTTCCTGCACTGATCAATCCTGCAGTGGCCATGGTGAATGTATAGAGACCATTGAAAACTACAACTGCAAGTGCCACCCTGGCTTCCATGGACTCAGGTGTGAGCAAGGTGAGTATGGTTCTCACCTCTTCCTTTCCCTGAGATGGCAGCATCTTCTCTTGTCCCGGCTGGCTTGGGAGTCAGGTCTGCATATCATCCTTACTCTAGACCATATGATGTAAGGTTGTGATTGAGAGCTGAGATTAAGAAGTCAGACCCTCTGGAGTCAAATCTCAGACTCACCACTTGTTATATATGGTACTGTGGCATCAATGACCCACAGGCTGTCATTGATGAAAAAGTCATTATGAGGCCCATGACTGTAGCTATGAGACCCACAATAAAATGAAGATAATAACAGCACCAACATCTAGGTTTATGGTTGTGCAGTGTCTGGCACACAGGACACACTCAGCAAACAGCAGTTACAAGGTAAGACAGCAGACTTGATTTGCATTTTTCCAGTTGTAACATGTAAAGCATGGGAAAACCCTGAACATGGAAGCCTGGTTTGCACCCACCCTTTGGGGACCTTCAGCTACAACTCCTCTTGCTCTGTGAGCTGTGATAGGGGCTACCTGCCAAGCGGCAAGCAGAACACACAGTGCATTTCATCTGGAGAATGGAGTGGTCTCGTGCCAGCCTGTGAGGGTGAGTCTCTCTCAGTATGCACAGGACATTCTCTAACTCACCTCTCATTCCTGCACTTTCTATCTCACAGGAAACATTGTCCAAATCCTAGGGAAAGTTCTTTTTTATTATTGCTGTTTTTAGTAAAATTGTTCTCTCAGCAATGTCCGAGAGAGACGTTGTCTATATCGGCAATCTGTTACCCACTTGGTTTGAGGGACGCTTTTAGTTTATGTTTGAAATGGGTATTCTGGGCCAGGGATATAGCTCAGTGGCACAGTCCCTGCCTGGCAAGTGTGAGGCCCTGAGTACAATTCCTGGTACTAAAAAAAAAAAAAAAAAGAAAAAAAGAAAAGAAAAGAAAGAAAGAAAATGAAAAGAAAGAAATGGGTATTCTGAAGCTCTGGTGAACTGTGAAGGAGACCAGCATGAAGGCATGGAACCATACTCAAGACGTCTTCATGACTTTCCCATCTTTTCTCTCTCAATCTTCCTTTCATAAAGGAAGGGACAGATGTAAAAAAAAAAAAAATCAATCCTTTAGGTCACACTGAACTAAAATAATGTCCTGTGTATGTCAATATTGTTTTCACCCTAATTAATCATAAATCCTGCTCTAGAATCTGCATGATGCAGATTTTGCATTATTGAAATGATAAAACAGATCAGAGACAACTCTGCATAGTCAAAATAAAAATTAATCAGGAAACATGAAAATATCAATAAGAAAAGAACAAAAACTTTGTTATGGGTGTTGATAGCTGTTGCAGTGAGCAACCACTGCAGCAGAGGGTGAAAAAGATTATTTGCAGATGAGACTGAGTTCAGTCTGAGAGAGGCTCAGAGGGGATATTCTCAACCGAGAGTGCCCAGCCTTTAGGGGGTCTCTCTGGAGAACAGCCTTGAAGCTGAGCACTCTCTGGCTTTTATTTAGAATATCAGTGTAAGAGAAAAAAGGTCAGGAGAAAAGCATTTTGGCCAAGGATCTCTCTCAAGGCTGGGCAGTTTTTCCTGGAGAACAGGAAAAGACAATCATCCGACACAACATGTTTCACTGATCTAAACTTCTTGTTGTTTAACCGCTCACTCCTTGCGGAGCCTGTGTGCTTTTTGCTCCACAGTTTAGTTATTCACGTGCTTTTGCCCCACATTTTAACCGCTCAATCCTCATAGAGCCTATACGCTTTTGTCATGCAGTTTAACCGTTCATTCCTGGCCAAGTCCCCTACATATGCCCCCCGCTAAATGGACATAGGTCTTCTGGATCTACGCTTGGAAGGCAGATTTCTCACTGTTTTATACATGTAATTAACTGCAATAGGAACTAAAAACAATATTCTGTAAAATTCAAGGTGTCCTTTCCTCTCCACAGTGGTTGAGTGTGAGGCTTTGACTAAACCTGCCAATGGTGTCATACAATGTTTCCAAAGCCCTGAAAGATTTCCATGGAACACAACTTGTGTATTTGAGTGTGAGCAAGGATTTGAACTAATAGGAACTGCAAACGTGCAGTGTACGTCCTCCGGGATCTGGGACAATGAGAAGCCAACCTGTCAAGGTAGTGTTTTTCCACCTCCACACACTGCAAACCTTCTCTTTCTCAAGCCACACTTGAAATGGGCAAGCCAGACTTGCTGATACACATTGACACCTGTATTACAGCTTTGACATGCGATGCCATCCACCAGCCTCAGAATGGTTTCATGAACTGTAGCGACTCTTCTTCTGGAAGGTTTGCCTTCAAGTCATCCTGCAGCTTCACCTGCGAGGAGGGCTTCATGCTGCAGGGGCCGCCGCAGATAGAATGCACTGCGCAAGGGCAGTGGACACAGCCAACTCCACAGTGTGAAGGTGAGGCTCATGCTTTCAATGTGCTCCCTTTTAGAGAAGCAGCAGCTTTCAATTTTGGGCAGAACAAACGAGACCAGAAGCTCACTTTAATTATACATATGAGATTTGATGGCCAGCATTCATCTCATGTCCGTTCAGTTCATATAAAGACCCAGTCCTTGGCCAGAGAAAAGACCGTGTGTAACAAGAGCAGATTGTTTTTTGGTTTCTTAACAATGCTCTGTTAATATAATGTTACACACATTGGCACAGAGTAGGCAGAAATCTTAATCTAAAAGAACTATTAGAAAATTTAAAGAACAGAATAAAGAGAATGTGCCTGGAGTATAAAATTCTTATACTTTTCTCTGAAACTGCTCTAACTGGCAATGATGAGAAAGCCTCCAACATGGCTTTTGCTGCAGAGACATTCCTTTTTTATGGAAAAAAAGTAAAACAATATTTCATAAGAAAATAATAGGAGAATAACAATAGTTAATACATTGAGTATTATTACCTTTAAAGTAGTTAATCAGAGTACAAGATATAGGCATAAAAAATTATCCAAATGATATTAGCACAAACCTTTCTTCTCTATGAACTAAGGGAAACTAGTGGTATAACTACCTTGTATTTTGTTGTTGGACTTTTCCCTTCCTTCCTTTGCCCTTTCCCCCATCCTACTTCCTTTTTCCTTTTGAACAATTTCTTCTCATTTCACAATATCTATTGTATATTTTGGGCCTTATTTACTCTTTAAGTTTCTTACACCAGTGAGACAATATAGTGTTTATACATTTGAGTCTGATTTATTTCACTTATGAGTATGGTCTTAAATTGCACCCATTTATATATAAAAGTCTCCAGTTTATCCTTCTTTAAAACTCAGTAGTGTTCTGTTATATAAAAAGACCACATCTTTTTTATCCATTCCTTGGTTGATGGGCATTTAGAATGTTTCCAAGATTTAGCTATTACAAATTGTGCTGTTACAAACATGGGTGCACATATATTGCTGTGGTATGATGTTTTTAATTCTTACAGGAAGACACCCAGAAAGGGAGTAGGTGGGTAGAATAGGACTTCTAATCCTAGTTTTCTGAGGAATCTCCATACTGATTTCCACAGTAGTTGTACCAGTCTGCACTCCCACCAACAGTGGAGAAAGGTTCCTTTTTCCCCACAACCCTATCAACATTTGCAGTTGATTGATTTCTTAATGATAGCCATTCTTTCTGGAGTGAAATGGAATCTCAGTGTTGTTTTAATTTGCATCTCTCTGAATGACCAAATGGCAGATATTAATTTGCCATTTGTATTTCTTCATCTGAGAAGTGTGTATGCTTCTCAGATGTCCATTTCTGGGTTGAGTCTTTTAATTTGGGGTCCTGTTTTTTTTCACTTCTTTATATATTATAGATAGAAGTCCTTTGCCTAAAGGACAACTGGCTAAAATTTTTTCCCTCTCTGTAGGTTGTCTCTTCACTGTGTTGGTGATTTCTTTTGATGTGGAAAAGAAGTTTAATAAGATGAGATCCCAGTTGTTGATTCTTTGAAGTATTTCCCCATGCAGTCTGAGTTTTGTTCATGAACTCTCTGCCTACACCCATGTCTTCAAGATTTCTACCTACCTTTTCTTCTAGTAGATTTAATGTTTCTGTTTTAATATTTAGATCTTTGATCCATTTTGACTTTAATTTAGTGCATGATGATAGACAAGAGTCTAGTTTTAGTCATTAGCATGTGGTGAGCCAGTTTTTCCAGCACCATTTATTAAAGAGGCTATCTTTCTTCTAGTCAACATGTTTGGTCTCTTTGTCAAAGATAAGGTGGCTGAGTATGTTTGTAGTTGTGTCTGCACCTTCTAATCTGTTCCATTGATCCTCTGGTCTTTTTTTTGTGGCAGTACCATGCTGGTTTTATCATAGTAGCTTTGTAGTATAATTTCAAGTCAGGGATTGTGATGCCCCTTGTCTTGCCTTTGTTGCCCAGAATTGTTTTTGCTATTCTAGGTACAGAGACATTCTTGATATACAAATACCAAAATTTAATTCACTGCAAGCAAGAGCAAGGATGTTAAAAACAAGTAGATTTCCATATCAGGTGTTGGCATTCTCATAGCCAAATAAAACACAGAGTAATTTCCAGTGGCAGAATGTCTCAATACAAAAACCAAGCCACAAAGCCCATACATTTTACATGGATGTCTGCTTCTCCTTTCTTTTTGGTAATATCTACAAGCATCTGGGATTGTTAAGTTGTTCTCTGACTGCACGAAATCTTTCCCTTGACCGTAACTTCTTTTCCATGTCAGAAAAGCAGTGTCTAAGAACCAATATTTCTGTTAAATCCTGTCCTTTCTTTGGTGCCATTGTCCATAAGCGGCCTGGAATTCAAAGAAAACACTGCCTTCTTCCCAGCAGTCCAGAGAATATTGAAAAATTATCTTCAGTTCTTTGAATCTTGCTGTGTCTCACATGAACTGTGCCATCAAAAGCTAAATAGTTTCCAGTCCCACCCAGCTATTTCCTGACCATCATTTTGCTGTCTCAGCTTTCCATTACAGCACTTTATCCAGCCCAGAGCAAGTCTACCTGAATTGTCTTCTTAGTGCTTTGGCAGGTTTCCATAGTGGTCCAGCTGTGAGTTCTCCTGTGAGTTCTCCTTTGTGTTAAAATGACCTAGAAGGCTCCAGTGTGACCCTAACAGGAGAGTGGAACCATGAGAAGCCCACGTGTAAAGATACAGTTCCTGTTTTTATTTTATTTAAGATAAAAACCACCACTTATTTAAGATAAGAACCACCACTGAAGAGCTCAGGGACTTGTTTACCTTGAGAGACTTGTTGCTACCTGACACAAATAAGCCTCTAAAGTACTCTTTTGTGTCTTCCAGCTGTGACCTGTGATGCTGTTCATCAGCCCCTGAATAGCATGATGAAATGTACTCCTTCCCCTACTGGGAAATTCACCTACAAGTCCTCTTGTACCTTCCACTGCAAGGAAGGCTTTGACTTACATGGATCAACTGAACTTGAGTGCACCTCTCAGGGACAGTGGACACAAGCAGTCCCATCCTGTCAAGGTACTACAGAGTTCAGACTTTTAGGATATGGGTTAAATACCTCATAAATTATGGAACTTGAGCTGTTCACTTTGCTTGATCCTAATTTCCTATAAGCTGAATATTAAATAGTGCTTATGAATTACATTTGTTGGTGACTTTTAAGCCAGATGTAGAAGTCTTTCAGCTGATATTTCCTGACCTCTGCCTATGGGTTATTGTTCACAGCGGCACACTGTTCAAGCCTGGAAATTCCAGCACATATCAACATGACCTGCAGTGGGGAGCCTGTGTTTGGCACTGGGTGCAAGTTTGCATGTCCTGAAGGATGGACACTCAATGGCTCTGCAGTTCTGACATGTGGTGCCACAGGACAATGGCTTGGAATGCTGCCTACCTGTGAAGGTGAAGCATTGATTGATGGTGGTTGTCTAGGGGACTGGGGAGAAGAAGAGAAGCTACCTTGCCCAGTAATTAACTAGCCTTTATATGCAAACAGAAACATTGCTCATGTTAACAAGGTGGTCAACAGTTAATTGGGGGGTGGCTAGAAGGGAAACAGAAGGGGCATAATGGTAAAATGGATAGAATTCTGGCAATTGGAAAAAGAAGATCTGGAGGTAAAGGGAGGAGGGAGAAATGGCAAAGAGAAAGGGAGAGAGGGAAGGGGAGAGAGAGACAGACAGACAGAGAGAGACAGAGAGAGATTCAGCATTACCTGAGGTACTATGTGGCACTGTGTGAGAAGCTGACAAGTTAGAGGTCTATCTGGCGTGGAGAGGTGGGGTGCTAGCCTTAAAGGTGATGTGGTACGGATGCCACAATCCATGCCTTACGCATTTATATAGATAGCTCTTTTGCTCCTAGTATACAATATATGAAGAAAAGGCTAAATGAACAGAACAGAAAACCCATTACTATGTATGATAGTTCTCCCTCTCTTGTTTTCTTAGCTCCCACAGCATCCAACATTTCCTTGGCAGTTCAACTTTCTGCTGCAGGAGCCTCCCTCCTGACACTGGGATCATTTCTCCTCTGGCTTTTGAAAAACTTTCGGAAGAAAGGTGAGGGGACTCATGAGGTACTCCAATAATCATGTTGAAAATACGTAGTTTTTCTCATTGATGAGTTATGGACTTCCTTGCAAATTTAAATAATAACTAAAATCTAGTTATTGGATAAACACTAATAACCTACTGTGCAATTAAGCAACAGTCATAGGAAAAAGATTTCAGAGTGCAACTTGAAGTGGGAGGAGGTTAAGAAATATCAGTGTTAGTTGAACTAACACTGCACAACTCTAGGAGGTGCTACCTGCATTGAATTCTATGGTTCCCCTGGAATTGTGCAGAGACTGCCATAATTAGTGCTTCCAGGGGAATGGTTAAAGTGCTTCCTAAAAAGACTATTTAAGATACAGTTTTAAATTTTGGGAATATCTTTTAAGGAATATACAAACATATCTATATACACTCAGGTTTGGCCCTTACAGAATGCATCTGCATTTGTGATGTCCTTAAAAGTCATTTAGTCTAAATTAGTGGTTTTCCTTCTCTTGCAGTAAAACCATTTGTTCCTTACAGGTAAGTTTCTTTCTTGTATAAAGCATGCTATTGAACATTCAACATAGCTTTCTCTCTTTGTATTAGAAAACAGTGCTTTATTTAGTGTTTTCACTCTTCAAACAGTTCCTGTTACAGCCTTCAAGCACACAGAAATCACCAGATCCCTGCTGACATCATTTAAGTCTGAAAGAAACAGGTAATGTTAAAAATGACACACTAATGACAGAGACCATCTTCTCTACAAGTCTGTTTCTCTTTAACCACCCTCCCAAAAAAACTTGGGAGAATCATTATCTTCATACAATTTCCTGGAAAGTTATTTTGTTTCTTTATAGAAAGAGAAGAAACAGAGATCTGGTGTTCGTGAATCGTTTCATTACTGACAGACAGTAAGACGGTGGTAGCCGGCTTTCATACAGCACTCATGTTCTAGGCAGTGTTCTCAGCTAGGAACTCTATAGATGGGGGCTCTTACTCTATTTCCTACCACTCAGATCAAGGGAATGATGCATAGGGAAGTTAAGAAATTACCTGAAATCTAAAATTATCTGAAATCTAAAAGCTGCTCAGTGGTGCAGCCAGGATTCAAATCCAGACCATCTGGTTCGAGAATCTGTGTTCTCAAATATCTGCTTTGCTTTGTGAGCATTTGGGATGGTCCAGTCCCACCAAATACATTTTTAAATTAAGAGACTACTTTTGTGTAATTTTAGATTTACAGGAAAATGGAACAGAAACTACAGAGTTCCAACATACCTCCTCACTCCTCCACTTCCAATTCTCCCTGTTACTAAGATCTCGCATTAGCACTGTTCATTTGTTACAACTGATGGCCTGATATAGATACATTAAGTAAAATTCTCAGATAATGTCAGGTTATTTGTGTGGTATGTTCTGTAGGATTTTAACAGGTGTGTAATGACATATATTTACCATCACAGTGTCATAAAGAATAGTTTCTCTGGCCTAAATGAATAGCCTTTGGTGTTGATGTTTAGACTCCCACGTGACAATATGACAGTACTCTACAGCAGTGAGTGCAGTTTTGCTGCCAATACCAGTCTGCAGAAGTTTCTGATAATATGCGCACTTGTTTATACTTGCAGGGATCCAAACACTGAAGACAGCAGAGGCCGAGAACTGCTCAGATCCTTGGCCTTTCCTGCCTATCATACCTGCCACTTCCACTGCTGGGACTGTGACTTCAATGGATCAAAATTCAATGGCAAGAGAGATCTTCCGCCAAAAGGACTCAATGTTTGCTTTGCTGTTCTTGGGATCAGAAAGTGGTGCTTAGTGAAAGTAAATAACATTGTCTTCAAAGCAAAATGAAGAGCCCAAGGCTCTGGAATCTCCGAATTCCTTTTCTAGTTCTCTTTCATCACTCTGAAACGTTGGTGGAGAAGGAATGTTTCTTTCTTTTGTTCTTCACCATGTTTCAACTAATTGGATAGTTAATTGGATAGTTACTGTCATGGGGATGAACAGGAATTATCTAGACTCCAGAGAGAATGAACTGGCCAAATATATTTTATTTCTAACTTTTAAGAGCCCCCAAACTTTAATGCCCAGTGGTGAATGCACTAATATTATTAGTGCACAGTGCAAACCCTGTGTAAAGCTTTGCGTGAGGGTTACTAAGCCCAGTGTTCATCGTTTTATCCTGTGGGATTCTATGGGAGTCTATGCTTTTTAAAATTGTTCTTAGACATTGTATTCTTTTTTACTTACATTGAATACAACATAATCTTCCATAGCTATTAACTCAGTACTGTGGACTTGGTTACTTATCTTAATCACCATCTCTTTGTTTATTAAAAAAATGTAATGTTAGATCTGCAGTAAATGTATTTTTAAAAGGAACAAATGTTCACCAGTGTGAAGTTCTGAGTGTTTTACATGTGTTATTTTTACAACATGGTACTATCAGGTGTATAATTCTTGTATATTATATAAGATTTTAAATCCATGGTAAGAACTCACTATTTAAAACATCCACCTAGAGCATTTTCAAAAAGTGAAGATGTCTAATAGTCATTCCCTAGTAGTTTTATTCTGTGTGTTTTGGTATTCTGAAAGAGGGGAATGCTTGGGTGAATATTTATGTTTATTTATAAGCAGAGCTTAAAATTCTTAAGGAATTTCCAGTTATAAGTGGCAATGAGAATTCTCGGTCAGTAAGTGCCACAGCTGTCCACATTAAAGCTGTCCTCAACTTCCATTAACTTAACATGTTGGAAAAGTTTCAGAAAGTGCATAGGGGTGAGGGTGTGGGGGAACTAACACGATCAGACTATATACAGAATGAATTATTATTTTCTCTAAGATTTTTCAAATACAAAAATTTATATATACTACACAAGAAATAACTACATGAAATATAAATGTGGGCTATGTTTGAGTATTATATAGTATTTTAAATTATGATGTAAATCTTTTATAGTTTTAACTATGTATTTATTTAAGCTTACATCAGACTTACTGACATGCATTATAAAGTTTGACAATAAATGTGTTTGTTTATATTTATCTCTGTGGATAGACTTTTAAAATTTTCACGCATTACTCTTATTTTCCCTCCCCTGCCCCTTGCAACTACTACTAACCTACTGTTTGAGGCTATGGATTTGTCTGTTCTGGGTGTTCCATACAAATAAAACCTTATGTGACTTTCTGTGTCTGGCTTCTTTTACTAAGCATATGGTTTTCAAGGTTTCTCCCATGTTGTAGCATAAATCAGTACTTTGTTGCACTTTTATTGTTATACAGAATGTTATATTTCTCCAGTCATCAACCGGTGGACTTTGGATTGATATTGCTTTTTGCCTGATGAGAGTCATGCTGTTATGGATTTAGGGTAGACACGTGTTTTCATTTTTGTAGAGCATATTCCTAGAAGTAGAATGATTGAGTGATATTATTATGATTTTTAGTCTCTTTGAGGAATAACCAAACCCTCTTACAAAGGGGCTGTATCCTTTTGTGATCCTACCAGAAATACACAATAGTTCCAGTTTCTGTACATTCTGGATAATACTTGCTATTGTCTTTTTGATTATCACCTTCCTACATGGTGTGATGTGGTATACGTACTGTTATGGTTGATACATTGTGCCAACTTGGGGAGTCTAGAGGTTTGGCTAAGTGACTCAGCAGTTCTGCCTCTTGGGGTGAAAAGGACACGCCCTTATCCTTCTGGGATGTTGTTTATTGTGTTAATTTGAGAAGTTAGAAGGTTAACTATGCAACTCAGAAGGGGTCCAGGGTGCTTACTTTGTATTCATCCTGAGCCTGTGCAAGAGGCGGGCATGCAGAGGGTGTGGGTGTAGAGGATGACCCCCACCTCCCCAGAGCGGGTAGACTGCATTTAAGAAAAAGGAATTCAGGAAGGACTGGCTGCTGGTTCTTCGGAGGAGCTCCGGTCTTCGCCTTCACCTTGGTCGTCTCCTGGCTTCTGGTGCAGACTGTTGGGCTTCCGTCTGGACTCTTCAGCCTTCTGGTGTTGGCTCTCCGGCCTTCATCATAGATTCTTCAGCATTCCGTCGCAGACCCATCAGCCTTTTGATATGGACTTGCACGGACACTGCAGCGAGCTCCAGGCCTGGGGCTGGGATCTTCAATCTCCAGGGTACAGACACCCTCTGCACACTTCCTGATCCAACTCTGTAGCTGACCATTGTAAGCCAAACTTGTAATTCCTTGTACATTTGTTTATCTTGTATTATATCTGTTCCTCTAGTAAACCCTGACTGATACACTTACAGACTCTTGAACTGAAACTGAGGAGTCTGAGAAAATATAAATAATCTGAGAAAATCGTTAAGACTAAGGACAACCTCCTTATCCTGGGGTCTTTCCCTCCCACTAGTTTCAATACTAAGCAGCTCAAGTTTACCAGGGCATGTCCATTGACACTGCAGACTCAATTTATTCACCAGAATTAGATCCAAAGTACTTTTTCCCACTAAATATGTATGTTCTGTCTTGTACAGTAGTGGTAATCCACAGACCTAGTATGCCCTGATCTGAAAAATCACTAAGAATCTCACTGGAATCAAAATATCTGAAATTTCTAATAAAACAGGTGGGGTGTTTTGAGGGGAGGTGTTAGCCTGCTAAAACTCATGTCTGGAAATAGCACCATCATAGGCAAGAGTTAGTTTCACTTGGATTTTATACTTAATCCTATCTCAGAAATATCACTTAAGAAAAAAATTAAAGAGAAAATGGAAAACAGAGACAGATTCTATACTAAGTAAGTATGTTTTCATATAGGACTGAAATGGATACACACTTGAGTTATGAGCTCAAAATGGCAGAAAGGAAACTTTTTCAAGGTATAAAAGGGAGAATAACTTGAGCAAATTAAATGTATCCAAGTTAAACAATTCTCCATGTTAGCATGATCGGATTAGAAAAGAACTTTTATGGAAGATAAAATAATCTATCGAAAAAGCAAGAACTCTGGTCTTTTAGTCTAGCTTCCAAATCAAAGTTTAGCTTCCTTCTCACAGGATTCTGAGCCAGAAGGAATAAAAATATTTTTCTCTTCCTATATGCATATCAGTGGTAATGAAAACATATGGTGAATATCTAAATTCATAAAATTTATCTCAGTGAATACTCCATCTTGCTTCCAACACACTTTTCTCCTCATTCTTGCTACTTTCTGAAGACGTTCTGGAAGTTCTCCTTCTGTCTTTCTGAGGTGTGATAAAAAGTACAGTGCATGTTGCTGGCTAGTGCTGTCACCGTCCTCCTTATTGATAGATCTGTTGCCACGCAACTTCTGGCTCTTTTCCAGTCAGTGATCATGAAAGATAAATATCGTGAATGAATTCAGGGCATCAAGGCAGCCACGACAGAGCAATAAAGGATGCTCACAAGAAAGGACTTCTAGTCCTGCTTCAGAAAGTGGCAAGAATGATGGGTGTATACAAAGTGAGGAGAGTATCTGGAAGGTGATTATGGCAATGTGCCTATAACTAATATTTTAAAAATTTAAACCTTCATATATTTCAATCATACCTTCATATTTTTCATCATTTCATATGATGATTTCTGAAATCACCATACTGCCCAGGAATAAGTAGGATAAGCTTCCTCTTTTTGTCAAAAATAAGACTAAAACTACAACAGGGTTTTGTTATAATCAAGATCTTTGTCTCTGATCCCTCCATGACAGGTGCTAAATCCAAACAGTAGTTCCTGTAATAATGATTCCCACCAAGTATGCTCACTTCTCACTGACAACCTTCAGAGGGAGCCCTTGTCACTATCCCTGGGCTATATGGTTACAATCTCCACAGATTCCTTGGTCTCTAGATTCTCAGTCTGTCACTGGGGTGTGCTGTGGTCCACATTACTGACATGACTCACAAGCCATATAGTATCTAGTCCTTGCCGTCTCCCAACCTCATTTCCCACCAGGCCTTGCAGTACGGTTCTCCAGCCACACTGGGGAGTGGCTGCTGCCCACTTAGGGCATACAGGCTTCTTTCACTTGCAAGGATCCCCTCACCCATAGAAGCCCCTCAGTCTTTGTCTGGTTCTGCTTAAATGTCTCAGGATGGCTTATTTTACACGTCAGCTTATCTAGGCCAAGGGAGGCACAGATATCTGATAATGCATTATATCTGTAGAAGAGATCAACATTTGAACCAGTGGAATGAGAAAGAAGATTGCCTTTACCAGTGTGGGTGGGCCTCATCCAGTCTGCTAAGGGTTCAAACTGAACAAAACAGGAAGTGTGAATTCACTGTGTTTGAGCAGTGAAATCCCTCTTCTCCTGCCCCTAGATAGCAGCTCTCCTGATTCTTGAGGGTTGGGGCTTAGACTGAATTATTATCACTGGGTTTCATGTTTCTCCATCTGCAGGCCACAGATCATGGGACTTCTCAATCTCCATAATCAGAAAAGTTAATAATTCCCATAATAAATCTACAGATGCACACGTGTGTGTGTGTGTGTGTGTACACACACTTGCTGCTTCTCCAGTGACCTGCCTAATGCACATTCTCTCTTGAGAACTGACTTCTTAGATGAAATATCTCATAGCCTATATTACTCAGGGTTCCCTAGAGGGACAGCACTAATAGAACTGAATAAGCAGCCTAGAAGCTTCCTGAAGAGTCTGTGGTGTGAGTCCAAATTCAAAGACTGAAGAAGTTTGTGTCTGATGTCCATGGATGATGGTGACAGAAAAGCACTTCTGGTCCAGAAGAATGGAGCCTGCAAGAACTTCCTCCTTCTCCCACTTTTGCTTCATCTGGGCCCTCAGCCTATTGGATGGTGCTGCCCGCACTCAGGGTCCATCTTCCCACTCCCATGTGCTTCCCATGTGCCCATAGTCTCGGCAAACATCCTGACAGACACACTCAGGGGTGTGTTTTAATAATTCCCTGGGTGTCTCTCAACCCAATCGACTGACAAGAAAGACTGACCATTACAAGTCCACACTGGTCACCCAAAGAACATGCTTCCTTAAACCATACTTAATCCCGAAGTAAAGAGAGCATGATCATAATTCTAGTTGACAAAGTTTAACTATCCTGTGTACAACCAAAAATGCACTAATTCCCTTCCCAGAAGTTTAAAACTTGTAAAGAATTTTATTAGTATATGTTTGCAGTATATAACCAGAGTGGTTGTTTTGAGTGATGCTTACTCTTCTCTTGACAACCTCTAACTTAAATGTCATAACATAGATTTAACAATACTTAAAATCAATCAATATTATGTTACAAGATAAAGAAATAAGGGAAGAAAGAAATCAAAGATATCAGCATAATGTATGTATATATGCACAAATGTATTCTTATCAAAATAGAAAAAAAATTCATAACTATTACAGTCCTTGTTTCTGTAACTGGTCACATGGTCTTGGCTGGTAATTATAACCATCTTCTACTATTCATTCTGCTTTCTCTCTGTCTTCATCAAGCACTTCAGTAGGTCTTGGTTCTTTACCTGAAAAGGTGATCTACACCTCCATTCCTGAGGAACTCTGACCATTTGTCACCCTGCCTGAATTGGGTTTAGTTTCCTATTGATCCTAATAACAAGGCACGGTAATACTAAGACGCCTAGTGGATCTTCCACACTCCAGACATCCTCTTCCATACCTCCACTGTAAAGTGGTCAAATTTCCCCTTAGTAGTTAGGACCAGTCATCATCGCCAGTGTTGTAACTTTTGACTCAGAAATGAGCAGCCCAGAATGCCTGGGGGAAAGTCTTAATCTCCAGTTAAATATACTCATTGTTGTTTCTTCAAGTACAAATATTTCTCCCTTTGGAACTAAGGCTTCTAGACCATCAGCCCATGAGGCTGTAGGATCAGA